ATGTAAATGGCGAGACAAAACAAGCAGTGCAAGAAGCCTGGCAGGTAACACGGCAGGTTAAGTGCCGGCGGTGTGACTGGGCACAAAACGGTTGCGATGAGTGCGTGCGTTCGTACGTTTAACTTCTCTTGCGCCGTACGTAGCCAACCCTGCTAATGGGAGGTGCGGCGAAGGACAACAAACTAAACACAGGACAGGGCCATCGACTTGGAGGCTGGGAAGAGAACGTGGCAGGGGTGAGTATTGCGGTGATGATTTAGGCACGAACGGTTGGGCTGGGTAGGACGGCCCGTGCAGCTCTAGAGGAGGGCCCATGGGCGACATGGGCAGAGCAGTGGCCTCCACAAAGTCCGGCGGTCGAGGGGAAGCCCTAGGGGCGGACGGCAGGACGCTGCTAGCTCGGACGTCGGAGGTCGCGTGTCTACTCTGCAGCAGCAGCTGCTGTGGGATCTGGCAGGGGGCAGGAAGTGTTGCCGGTGAGGTTGTGGCCATCAACAGCTTTTGCCACGATGACATCTTGATCTTAATCTTGAGAGTGAGGGAGGCTGGTTAGCCCCCGAGACAGCGCAGTGACCTCTGTATACAAGGTTCACCGGTCTGACCACCCCCCCCCCCCCAACCAACCTCGTTCCCATCACAAACGCCCCAGGGCCGTGTCGAGGCCTCACCGACTGTCAACAAGCACAGAGCCCGGCCGGCCGTAATCTCAGCGGGGATCTGTCCGGGGGGGGGGGGGCGGTGATGGGTTAGCGGCCCAGCACGCAGCACACCACATCCAGTGTGCCTCCACGTGCCACCTACTCCAGTCTGACCAGTGACGGCAGAAGATATTTCCGCAGCCGGCGTTCCACGTTCAGTATACTGCTCGCCGGACCGTGGCGACAAGTCGCTGCAGTCTGCCCGCCGACGACTTGGGATAATGTACATTGGGACGTCTTTGGGTCCTATGTCAGTCTATGGGTCCGATGTTAGTCTCAGGGACTTTTTAACACGTAGGGCTTTCGCGACCAATATTATTCATAATATAGGTTTTTGGGTCAGATCGTGTTATTTATAAATGTGTCGTAACCCTCCACCACCCGACACGGCCAAACAGTAAAAAATGTGTCACGTTTTTCAAAGGACAAAATAATTCTCTTCTTTAGCCCACCAGTGTGCTGAAGAGAGGATCAACAGCATTTTAAATTTGAGTAGTACGACGTTTCGCTGATAATTACAATCAGCTTCATCGGGCAAGAATGGTGAAGCTCTCCTGTTGCTTCCGTTCTTAAATAGAGCAGCCTCAGGGTGACGTCATCATTTAATTCAATTCAATCTGGTGCAGTGATTCGAGGCAAGGGGGGGGGGGTATTGTAATTATATACATTGGTAATCATTCAATTGTTATTCATTGGTAGTTAGTTACAGGGTCCTACGTTAGTCTAAGGGTAAAATGTTAGTGTATATATCTACGCTGGTCTGTACGTTCTGTGTTAAGTCTATGGGTCTCGGTGGCTGAGCTTGATTTTCAAGGGCACTTGTGCAAGGATTGAGATGGGCAACTGCCCCATCCAATTCTGCCCCCACCCCCACTCTACGTAGCCCGAGCCCCCTCCAGCCCGCGGGCATTGGTGCAGTTGCACCGCCTGCACCCCTCGACAGCTACGCCGCTGCCACACTCGCCGTGGATTGACGCGTCGTCCGGGATGGCGCGTGCCCACGTGTTTGCGTGCGCACACGCGTGTGCATCCACACGCGTGTGCATGCCCACGCGTGTGCAGTGGCGGCTGCTGTATGTTCACTCGGCGTGGGGTTGTGCGCTGCAGAGCAGTGGGTTAGTCTAATGGGCATCACACTGTGCCAGTTTCCACAGTGCTGATGGTTGTGTTATAACAGCAAGGCTATAATTTCTTCAGGGAATTACTGAATTGTGTGCAGTCGGCTATAAAATGAATATTAAAAAGGGCCGAGAAATAATTTGAGACGGACCAAGGCACCACGCTTGGCACGCTTTGCTCGTCGCTCATGCCTGCCGACATCGAAAAAATACAAACGGCGTCAAAATAAAAAAAAAAACATCTTCCTTTCGTGTCAGAGTACCTAGCGCTCTCTGACCCTGCGAAATAAAACAAAAAGCGTTTAATTGATTTTTCTTCCACGGGTGTGTTTGTGTTTGTTCTACAAGACATCTGTGATTCGATTACGCGTTTCCGGCATGCTAGCCCTGCCGCAGTTTCCCCCAATATGACACAGTGCCATATTAGTATGTTTCCCTTATCGGGGGGGGGTGGGGGGGAGAGCGCCCTATAGGATTTCAGTTAAAGGATTTTTTATTTATTGAAAACCTCGAATAGGTGAAGGGCCGGGTTGGGGTGCGCCGGCCGTGCCATGGGAAGGCCGCTGAAGCCAAGCACGCGACACACACGACACACGCACAAGACGCACGCACACACACACCACGCACGCACGACGCACACACACACACCACGCACCAAACACACACCACGCACACACACACCACACACCACACACACACCACACAACACGCACGCACAAGACGCACGCACACACACACCACGCACACACACCACACACGACACACACACAACACGCACACACACACACACCACGCACACACCACGCACGTACACACCACGCACGCACACAAACGACGCACACACGAAGCATGCACACACACACGACGCACGCACGCACACAAACGACGCACACACACACGACGCACGCACACACCACTGTGATTGCTGGCGTCACGTGTCACCTCTTGTTTCCAGAACCACGCGCGTCATCCCACGGCTATTGGACTCCGAACGAAACGCTCCTTTTATTTCACCGAAATAAATAAATGTGACGGCGGTGGGCTTTGTGGGGGGGGCGGGCGGGGCGGAGGCCTTCATCCAGCAATGGATTGAACATGGCTGATGATGATGATCGAATATGATTGATGATGGTTGTAAAATGAATCAATTGTAGACGTTTTTCAGTCCATCGATGGACGAAAGCCTCCCCCGTGCCATGTCAACCGTGGGGGTTTTTTAACCAAATGTGACCACGCTGGTCATTTGCGGGTTTGTGAAGGAGGATGAGGAGGCTGTGCGGGGGGGGGGGGGGGCAGGACATTGTCTTGATATCAGGTGCCACTCACGTTAGCGGTGGCCGGTAGATATAACTCGGGGTCACTGGGTTCATTGTTGCAGCACCGCTAACCACTGCGCCACCACTCGGCACCGCAGTTTGCAAAACATTTATCGTCTCTTTTGGAGCGATTTAGGAAATAAAAGCGGCGCAAAATGCAGCATATTTTAAGGGGCGTGTGTTTTTTGGCTGCAGAATTTGTATTCTTTGCTAAGTGGAATGAGGGGTTATTATTATTATTATAAAAAAAAATTCTTGCGCTGGGATTTGTACTGGCCCGAGAGACGGCTGACTTGACAATTCCTCAGCGGCAACTCACTTCATTGCCGCTTGCGCGCACGTGCCCACGTTGAGATTCTTTCGCACCGCACGTAGCCAGCCTCACACCTGTGCTCCAGTCGGCACTCGGTGCATCGCGTTGCCTACAACTCCGTACTCGTATACAGTGATCCCTCGTTTATCGCGGTTAATGGGGACCGGAACTGCTCGCGATAGGTGAAAATCCGCGAAGTAGGATTGGCCCCCTAGGAATTTCCGTATATGTGTGTGTGGGTACCAGCATGTTTAAAATATTTATACTTTATATATATATTTTACTTAAATCTATTTAATTATAAAACCTTAATATTATACATTCACTTCTCTCTCTCTCATACGATACGTATTATGGTGTTCTACACTCACCAATGACAGTAGTATCTTGAGACTTGACTCCAGTAATGACGACGACGACGACGATGACAATGACGATGACAATGACGACGATGACAGACCTGTGCAGTTCGATGAATGTGATGATGAATGATGATGGTGTTACTGCACAGGTATAATGAGGCCTTTAAATCAGTTCGAAAAATCCGCGATGCACTGAGGCCGCGAAACTTGAACCGCGAAGTGGGGAGGGATTACTGTAATAGCTGCCCCCTTTTGGCGCACTCGCCCGGCTTGTCATTGGTTTCCTACATTCAGTGGCGGACGCTGGCCCGCGTTGTGGGGCCGCATTCGATTTATAAACTCCTCTCGGGAGATGACTGAAGAGATCTAGACGAGGGCTGATAAAGATGCGGTGAGATTCGAGATGTGTGGAAGGATAGAGCTGGCGTGAGATGAGAGGAGAGAGATAACAGATGAGACAGCCACGGAGTGAAATTATACGAGGTGTGGGAAAAAGGCAGCTGCCGTGCGTGCGATGAGAGGAGAAATTAAAATGGGACAGAATTGTATTGAAAACGAGAGAGCTGTGGACACGAGACAGAATGTACCGAAGTGAGAGAGATGCAGAGAAGAGACGGCTTGTAGTCAGATTAAAGAAGAGGGCTGCGGACAAGTTAGAGATGTGAGAATGTTATTAACTTTATGTTCATTGACTGTTTATGTTAATTAGGACCTGGATTCAAGCTGATATTTGATCCATCCCGATATTCGTTTTTTTTTCTTCACAAATTTCAGGGTCCCCTTGAGCTGTTTGGGGCCATAAATTCTAGATTTGAAGCTTTCATGACTGCAAGGATTCATATTCTTAGGTTTTTTCGGTAAAGTCACGTAGGTAAAAACATTAAAAAGTAAAATAAAATAAAAATCACGACGTTTCGGAGGCAACACAAGCTTCCGTCTTCAGGTGGTACCGTCACAGCCACGACAGCTGTATCAAGTAAAATTTTACCACCTGAAGACGGAAGCTTGTGTTGCCTCCGAAACGTCGTGATTTTTATTTTATTTTACTTTTTAATTTTTTTGCCTACGTGACTTTACCGAAAAAACCTAAGAATATGGGGCCCTAAACTTTCACCCCGGTTTGCTTCTGCATCGTCGCCTCCAATGTACCCTAACTCACTCTCCCCCTTCCGCTGTGCGATTTTCTTTTGCAGCCAACCTGAAAAACGCATCGTAATCTTCACGCGGGGACGAACGCAAAGACGCCAAGGACTCTTGTGGCACGCGGGACCGACGGGGACGATTTCATTCTACGGATTTAGACGTTGGGGGATGGGGGGGGGGGATACGGGAGATTATCTAGAAGTGGCGGCTTGTGATCACACACTCGCGCCTTTCACCGACAGACGACACCTCGGTGCACTTTAAAATCGGGATAATTTGTAAAAGTTTCGTTCGTCGCGCTCACGTGTTTCGTACGGTCCGGTGGGGAACGGGCGCGTGTAAAAAAATGAATACCGTCGGTTGTTTTGCTTGCGTGCGTTATTAGCGGTCGTACCGCGAGTGCCGAGACGAGCGTCTTTTGCCGGCGGATCTCGTCATTTGGGAACCGATCCACGTCTCGGATTCAACAAAACGTCGGCGGACATCGTTTTCCGAGCGACACGCCACACACAACCTGAAGAAAGCACACCGGTCGGGAGAGCTACGTGAGATTTTTTTTTTGCCAAAGTGAAAGAGTTGCCGCCGTTTCATCAAAACGACGCTGGGATCATACCCGGGCGACGTGTTTGGTGTTTTTTTTTTTTTACGCGTCGAACCGTCCACGATGTTTCTGTGTCGATGGCGATTTGCGTTCGGTCCACTGCAAGAAAAGTCGCGATTCGGCGTCGAGATTTAGACGAGTTTCTTTGCGTGACTGTTAACATCACGGAAGATGGCAATGGCTTAGACCAGGCCTTCATCCAGCATCCAGCAGTGGATCGACCATGGCTGACAATGATGATGCTTATGAATGTGGTTAGTGGTTGTGTCCGTAGCCTGCAGAATTTACTTGAATGGTTCATCCACTGTTGGTCATTGATGGTTATTTGACCCTAAACTTCACCACGCTGGTCGGTGCAGGTCAGTGAATCATCATCGATTGCTGTTGGTAAGTCACCACTTGGCAATGTTACAAATTGCAACGGGGCTTTGCTATCGCCTCCCGAACGCACGCCTCTTTCGCAAGCAGTGCCCTCGCCGCGTGCACCGAGTAGCTTTTGGCCGCGGAAGAACATTGGCGCGGGGACCTCGAACACGGCCACCCCTTGACAGGGTCGTTGACGCGAAGGAAGCGCGCTTATTTCGGGGAGAGGGATCACGAAGGCCAACCGAGAGACGCTCCGCTTTGCCGGCTCATCGCTGGCTCATCAATTCCACGTGCGCTCGTGTCGAACCTTGCGCGCGTTCGAGAGAGTCAAAGGCGCAGCCCTGCAATGGCTCGCTGTGTGCGTACGTGTGCACGTTGAACTTCTGCCGGCACCGTACGTAGCCAACCGTGCTAACGCGGCGTTGCAGGGAAGGACAACAAACTAAACACAACGAGGAGTTCTAATGAAATGCGTTTTCAATCTACGCCACTGCTGGTGCTGTCTAGAGAGCCACCCCACCCCCTCCTCAAGAGTATTTGGCCTACTCTTCCATACTGGTCAAACATCTTGGGAAAGGGGGGAGGGACCCACCCTTTACCCCGCCACACGCGACCTCCCAATGGACAAACTGTGGTGGTGGTGACGGATTGCCCAGTCCAGTTGTGCTGACCATTCCGCGGCTGTGACGGCGGCCCTGATGTGTGCGTACACCGAGATAGTTTGTTGTGACCTGTTGTCACCGTTGTTTTGAACCAAATTGTCGAATAAAAAGAAACGTTTTGCAACAAGACCTCGGAGTGACGTGAGCTGAAATGTCCACACACCCGTTACGCAACACTGCAGCACGTCCTGAGCCAGAGGTGGGGGTGGACACGATACACAACGTTAAACGCTTTCAATTATTAATTTATAAACTAAACTAAACCATTTTTCTTTTCCAGGTAAAGCCCACTGAGCTGTACAGCTCTTCTTTGTAAGCAATCTGGCCACAAATGGTAGCTCAGTGAAGTGGCTCATCATCGTGTGGAAATTGATAGCAGCCAAATACTCTAAACGCGTGAAGTTGATTCTAAATTCTAAGGGAAAACCCGTAGGACCCGGAGAAAAATCCACGCGACCACGGGAAGATGATGAGAGAGAGAAAGACGCCGCAAACTCCAAATACACAGCAGGCACCAGGGTTGGGATCGAGCCCACGACCTCCTGTATACCAGGCGAGGTAGTTAACATCTCCTAGCCTCCGTGATGATGATGAGAGAGAGACGCAAACTCCAAATATACAGCAGGCACCAGGGTCGGGATCGAGCCCACAACCTCCTGTATACCAGGCCAGGTAGTTAACATATCCTCGCCTCCGTGATGATGATGAGAGAGAGACGCCGCAAACTCCAAATTTACAGCAGCAGGCGTCAGGGTTCGGATCGAGCCCACGACCTTCTGTATACCAGGCGAGGGAGTTAACATCTCCTAGCCACCGTGATGATGATGACAGAGACGCCGCAAACTCCAAATATACAGCAGGCACCAGGGTTGGGATCGAGCCCACGACCTCCTGTATACCAGGCGAGGGAGTTAACGAGAGGGAGGGGGGGGGAGCTGCCTTATCGGACCCTGGCGCGATCACACTTCCCTTTCTGGGGCGCGCGATCCCACGTGCCCCTTCGCCGGTGCCATTACCCAATCTTCCGCTGGACGCAATGGAACCTGCGAGCGGATTCCTATCTCCCCCGCCGAGTTAGCTCACACGCGTTGTGGACAAATACCCACGGCGGAACGGACATGTGCTAACCACCCGGTCCCATCGGCGTGTCTCTTGACCAGCAGCGTTACGTTGTTGTTGTTTTTTTTTGTCTCAACCAATCGCCTTTTTCGATTTAAAGCTTTCGTGACTGTAGGGATTCATCTTCTTGGTTCTTTCGGTAAAGTCACGTAGAAGGGAAGTAATAAAATAATAAAAATAAAACGTAATAAAATAATTCTCACGACGTTTCGGCCACAACGCAAGCAGCCGTCTTCAGGTGAAAACCAGGTCTGTCGAGGCTGCTTGCGTTGTGGCCTAAACGTCGTGAGAATTATTTTATTATGTTTTATTTGTATTATTTTATTACTTCCCTTCTACGTGACTTTACCGAAAGAACCAAGAAGATCAATCGCCTTTTCGATTTTGCGTTCCAACGGCACCAACAGGGAGGGAATTCGTGAGCTTGCTGAGCCCTGCGCACGGGGGGCAGCTGCGGTGCTGCAATCACCGGCTGCGCAAAGCTCCTCGCACTGAACGGACCAAACTGGAGCGGACGAGCCAGGAGGAGGAGGGGAGAAGGAGGAGGGGTGAGGGAGGAGGGGGAGAAGGAGGAGGGGTGAGAGGGAGAAGGAGGGAGAAGGAGGGGGTGGGTGAAGGGAGGGGGATGAAGGAGGAGGCATTGCCTCTTCATCTCCGCAGACGCAGTTCGTGTTTATGCCCCCACCCCACCCCCACTTGCTGAGTATTCGCTACACTGGAGCGGCCCGGCGGTTCAGGCCACCGCCTGTAGATTTCCCCGCAGTTCTCGTGGCGCTGGTGGAGGAGGAAGCCCTTCGCTATTCGCGCTCTCCGCTGCTGTCGCAGTCGACGACGTCGTCTGATCAGCTGTTGGTGTCGCTCGCAGTCGCGCGCTCTCCCTGGTGATGAGATCAGAGATGCCGTGGTGGTGTTGGTGGTGAAGGTGGTAGTGATGTTGGTGGTGATGGTGGTGATGGTGATGGTGGTGATGATGGTGGTGGTGATGGTGGTGGTGGTGATGGTGGTGGTGATGGTGGTGGTGATGGTGGTGGTGATGGTGGTGATGGTGGTGGTGGTGATGGTGTTGGTGGTGATGGTGGTGGTGATGGTGATGATGGTAAAACTCCTCCTGGATTTGGGTCCCGACCAACCAACCTTGATCCTTCATCGAGTAGTGGGACTGTTGACAAAGTGCTTGTGAAAGTTACGATTTTATTCTTGGTTGAGAAAAGTGCTTTTTGGAAAATTGAATTTGATTCAGAAAAGCAACATCCTCCGATGTGTCCAAAGTAACAAAACATTTCAATCGGTGCGTGTTACCCGCTATCGCGTATCGCACACATCGACGTTGAGAAATTAAGTTGAACAAAATACGAAAAGAACGCAAAACGGAGGCGTGGAATTACACGGAGAGACAGACAGGGAAGCACGTGCATCGGAGGAGAAAACAAGAAATCGGAAAACGTCTTCCGGACCGTTCATGAACGTTGGCTTGGAGCAGAACACCCTTGTGTTGCGCCCGAAACGTCGGGATTTAAATTATTTTATATTTTCTACCTACGTGACTTTACCGAAATAACCAAAGAGTATGGATCCCTGCAGTCACGAAAGCTTCAAATCTAGACAGAACACGCCACTCGAACGGCTTGGTGACCGAAGGCCCAAATCGGTGATGGGATGGCAGCCGCAGAGAGAGAAAAAAGTGACCACCATGGAGATGGAGCGATGAGTCTTCGTCCAGCAGTGGATAGATCGTGGCCAACGACGAATGGAGAATGAATGAAGAATGAGCGAATGAAGAATGAGTGAATAAAAAATGAGTGAATAAAAAATGAGTGAATGAAGAATGAGCGAATGAAGGATGAGCGAATTAAGAATGAGTGAATGAAGAATGAGCGAATGAAGAATGAGCGAATGAAGAATGAGTGAATGAAGAATGAGCGAATGAAGAATGAGCGAATGAAGAATGAGCGAATGAAGAATGAGAGAATGAAGAATGAGTGAATGAAGAATGAGCGAATGAAGAATGAGCGAATGAAGAATGAGAGAATGAAGAATGAGCAAATGAAGAATGAGAGAATGAAGAATGAGTGAATGAAGAATGAGCGAATGAAGAATGAGCGAATGAAGAATGAGCGAATGAAGAATGAGTGAATGAGAGAATAAAGAATGAGCGAATGAAGAATGGGCGAATGAAGAATGAGCGAATGAAGAATGAACGAATGAAGAATGAGCGAATGAAGAATGAGCGAATGAAGAATGAACGAATGAAGAATGAGTGAATGAGGAATGAGTGGATGCAAACGAAATCTCCCATGAGCTCTTGTATCACGCACGGTAGCCGCGCCGTTACTGTGATGGACTTAAGCGTCCCACGTGCTCAGACCTACTAATACGGATAATGATGAAAGCAAGCGTGGAAAATAATATCAGGTTCATCTGATAAATACCACCAGCTGCTTCTACTCGCTACCGAGATGCAATGGGGAAGCTTATCTGATCTCGGCCGCGGGTTGCAGTGCTACCTAGACGAGCTTACATGTGCGTCGATCTTAAATTGTCTGGAAAATTAATTTGTTGCACGGGCAGGAAACTTTGCGCGAGCGTGCGTGTCAAAGATCCCGCAGAAGAGTCGCGTGTTGATGCGAAGTCTCGCCGGGGCGCTTCGAGACGACCCCCCCCCCTCCCGCTGACCCCGCACGCTGTGAGGACGCGGCACTCTGGCAGACGAAAGGGGGGCCGAGCAAAGAAACAAAATTCCCATCGCAGGGTTATTAGGAACAACAACAACACAACGATTGCCTTGACCGCGCGTGAACCAACATCGTGGCAACTCCGCAAACTCGAGTTGTTTTTGGGGGGTCTCCCCGATTGCATTCCCTTGGCGTCGTTCGCCAAGGATGTGTCCGACGTTTCGCTGCACGTGCTGAGAAGTTGCTGCCAGCACGTTGAGTAAAACGTTGAATAGCGGCAGAACCAGAGAGCTGTGGCAGCGAATAATAAACTTAAACTCAACATAGTAATAGGTTTTTACCCTTTTAACTGGTACAAAATCTGACACCTTTATACAAGGCATCATGTTTGCAATAACCTCAACACAAGAAGTCAAAATGCAAACAAGAAGAAACAACTCTGATGATGATAATGATATGCACTGTCCTTGAAGTTCATTGGTCCACACCCGAGACAGCTTTCTTGAGAGCCTAGTCTCCATTATTATAGAGCCTAGTCTCCATTATTATCATCATCAGAGTTGTTTCTTTTTGTTTGCATTTTGACTTCTTGTGTTGAGGTTATTGCAAACATGATGCCTTGTATAAAGGTGTCATATTTTGTACCAGTTAAAAGGGTAAAAACCTATTACTATATTTTGCCACTGGTAAAGGAGATGTCTCATAGTGTTAAACTCAACATTTTATTTTACCAGGTAAGGCCCACTGAGCAGCGATGTAGCTCATTTTCAGAAGAGACATGGCCACAAATGATAGCTCAATGAAGTGGCATCATCATCATGTGTACATTTGTAGTAGCCAAATACTCTAAACGCATGATTCTAAATGTGTAGGAGGAGCCCGGAGAAAAATCCACGCGACCACCACGGGGGAGAAAGCGAGAGAAACACGCAAACTCCAAATATACAGCAGGCGTCAGGATTGGAATCGAACCCACGACCTCTTGTATACCAGGCGATGGAGTTAACATCTCCTAGCCACCGTGATGATGAGAGAGAGAGACACGCAAACTCCAAATATACAACAGGCATTGTCAGGGTCGGGATTGAACCCACGACCCATGTAGACCAGGCGAGGAAGTTAACATCTCCTAGCCACCGTGATGATGATGAGAGAGAGACACGCAGACTCCAAATATACAGCAGCAGGCGTCAGGGTTGGAATCGAACCCACGACCTCTTGTAGACCAGGCGAGGTAGTTAACATCTCCTAGCCACCGTGATGATGAGAGAGAGACACGCAAACTCCAAATATACAACAGGCATTGTCAGGG